TGACTGATTGACTCGTTGGTTGACTGATTGACTCGTTGGTTGACTGACTGATGCAGGGCTTGGGAAGCCAAACTGAGAGGTAGAGGTTCGGTTGGGAATGTTGGGGTTCTGAGGTAAGATGGTCGAAGGCAAAGCTGTCAGTGTTGGAGAGAAAGGCATTGGAGGTGTTGAGCAGGAGGTCTGAATGGGAGGAATGCCGATTCCTGAGGAAAACCGTGTCTTATTATCCTTGATGTGGCCATCGCTGGCTGGATCAGCATTTATTGCCCATCCCTTATTGTCTTGGAGCTGCTGCCTTTCGTTGCCTCAGTCCATTCATTGCACATCGATCCATGGTGCTGTTAGGGAGGGAGTTCCAGGATTTTGATCCAGTGATAGTGAAGGAACAACGATATATTTCCAAGTTGGAACGGTGAGTTAGTTGGTGGTGTTGCCCTTGTCCCTCCAGATGGTCACGGTCGTGGCTTTGGAATGGACTGTCTCGGGAGCCTTGCCGAATTACTGTGTAGTGCACACTGTGGTTGGCACCCAATGTTGCTGTTGTCTGTCGATGGTGGAGGAAGTGAATGTGGTGCCAGTCAAGCGGGCTGTTTCGTCCTGGGTGATGTCAAGGTTCTTTGTTCTCCAAATCACTGGCACAGAATCTCAACGCTTTGCCCTCGTGCAACATCTTGATACTCTCTGACATTGCATGAGACGCCAGAGTTGTCCCTGATTACTGCAGTGGTTCAGTGTCTTTTTTATTTACATATCTATAAGTTTAAAGTGAGAAGGGAAAGATATAAAAGGGGCCTCAGGTGCAACTTTTTAATGCAGAGGGTGGTGCATGTATGGAATGAGCTGCCACAGGAAGTGGCAGAGGCTGGTACAATGACAGCATTTAAAAAGATTGGTATATGAATGGGAAGGGCTTAGAGGGATGTGACTCTGTGCCCACCCTCTGAGACTCTGAAATTGAACAGGTTCAAGACTGTTGAAACAGAAGGGCCTGTTTGCATGCTGTACATCTCCGTGACTCTATCTCTCTGAGCGATGTTTGACTGGGATCTTTCTCTCCTCCCATCCAGTGTTGCCAGCGGGTACCTCTATGTCACCATCGTGTACAATATCTCGGTTAGCCTCGCCCTCTACGCTCTCTTCCTGTTCTACTTTGCCACGCGGGAACTCCTCAGTCCCTACAGTCCAGTGCTCAAATTCTTCATGGTGAAGTCTGTCATCTTCCTGTCCTTCTGGCAAGGTGAGAGCTCCCGCCGAGAAACAGCGCGGTCATGGGCGTTGGGGATGGGAAAGTATAGAACCAGCTGCCCGAATGGCCTGGGGAAGCGAAACAACATGAGCATCCAAAAAAGGATAAATACGTGAAGTGAAATACCACAATGGGGAGGAGTGGGGCAAATTAGATGGGATGGCAAAGAGCTAGCACAGGAACAATGGGATGAATGGCCTTCCATTACTGCACTATTCTAAAGAAGATATATATTTTTAACAATGTACTTTCTTTAAATAAAAGGGCAAGGGATTGGGAAGTGAATTGAGGAACATGTTGAGCTGGAAATGTTTTTTTTAATGGCGATGCCTTGGAAGGGCGTCCCTCTGAGGTCTGGTTTGTGTTCTGTTGTTGTTCGAGTTGCTTCAGGTTTGTTCCCGAGTGTCTCACTGTAGCAGGGGTGTGGTCTGTAGATATTTTTAATCAACCTCATGTAGATGTTATAACACTTCTCTGGAGCAGGTGGGCCTTCTGGCTTAGAGGTAGGGACATTGCCACGGCGCCACAAGAGGGTGATGATGGACAGCTGTTGAGCAGAGAACGAGGTCTGCCTCGGCCTGTGTTTGGGGGGAAAAGGCCACTCTCTCAACAACTCCGGCTCCTGTTCCTGGGGCCAGCATATGTTAAAGCTCATTTTCCTCTTCAGTGTGAAACAAGATGATTTCAATATCACTGTTTTAGGACTTTCCAAACGTACGAGTCAATTTGGCCTTCAAGCTGCTCTGCCATTCAGTAAGATCATAGAGTCCTTACAGTGTGGAAACAGACTATTCGGCCCATTGAGTCCACGCTGACCCTCTGAAGAGCATCCCACCCAAACCCCTACCCTATCCCCGTGACTCTGTATCTCCCATGGCTAATCCACCTGGCCTGTACGTCCCTGGTCACTGTTGACAATTTGGCATAACCTGCACACCTTTAGACTGTGGTAGGAAACCAGACCACCCGGCGGAAACCCACGCAGACACGGGGAGAATGTGCAAACTCCACACAGACAGTCGCCCGAGGGTGGGATCGAACCTGGGTCCCTGGCGCTGTGAGGCAGCAGTGCTAACTGCTGAGCCACAATGCTGCCCATAAATCAAACCCATTTGCATGTCTTGTGAATTTCACCTTCCCACCTAACCACCTACCCACGAAAACCTTTCATTTCCTTGTCGGTCTATCTATTTCTGCCTTTAAAGTAGTCAATGATCTCACGTCCAGTTCCAAAGTTGCACAACACTGAGAAACAATTCTCTGCTCAATTCTGTCCTGAAAGAATTATCCCTAATTTTAAAGCAGTACCCTCACCCAGTACTGTCTCTTTTTGGAAAGCTTTCCAATCGATTAATGCCCTCTCCCTCCACTCTGATACTCCTCCCCAAAATTCTGTAAACAGCTTCCCTTCACATATTTAACCCATTCTCATTATAACTTCTTACTTGATCTGCTTCCACCACCCTCTTCATTCCACATCACAACAATGTGCTGTGTTTAAAAATAAACTACTCATTTTGTTTTTTTATATTCCTCGACAGCTTCTCCTATCAATAAGCTGAAATATGAATGTTGCCAGTTAACCTTAAACAAGGTTCAGCATAAGATAGACTTGCTTATTCTTCGGTTCCACCCAATTTTTTTGTTTTAATTGTTTGCTCAAAGGATGAGGGTGTTGCTGGCCAGGCAGCATTTATTGCCCATCCCTAATTGCCCAGAGGGCAGTTAAGAGTCAACCGCATTGCTGTGGGTCTGGAGTCACATGTAGGCCAGACCAGGTAAGGGCGGCAGATTTCTTTCCCTGAAGGACGTCGGTAAAAATCCCATCTGGCTCACAACTATTGGCAATAGCCAAATATAAAGGCAAAAGACTACAGGTGCTGGAAGAATGAAACCAGCACAGAAAGTGCTGGAGAGACTCAGCAGGTCTGGCAGCATATGTGGGGAGAGAAACAGAATTAACGTTTCGAGTCCGGTATTACTCTTTGTCTGAACGTGGCCAACCATCAGATCAGAGTTTTATTGAATTCAAATTTCACCTTCTGCCATGGTGGGATTCGAACCTGTGAACCCAGAATATTAGGCAGTACTGGAGGTGGGAGGCAAGTGATTTTTTAAAAAAATTCCTTCATGGGATGAGGATGTCGCTGGCTAGGCCAGCATTTACTGCCCATGCCTAATTACCCAGAGGGCAGTTGAGTTGCCCACATTGCTGTGGGTCTGGAGTCACATGTAGGCCAGACCGGGTAAGGATGGCAGTTTCTTTCCCTAAAGGGGCATTAGTGAACTTGATGGGTGTTTTCCTGACAAACCGCAACAGATTCATGGTCACCATTAGACTCTCAATTCCAAATTTTAATTGAATTAAATTCCACCATCTGCCCTGATGGGATTCAAATCAGGGTCCCCAGAACATTAGCTGAGTTTTTGGATTAACAGTCCAGTGATGTGTGTGTGTGTGTGTGTGTCAGGGTGTGTGTCAGGGTGAGTTGTGGGGTGCAAAGTTAGGAGTGGGAGTAGATACCTCTGTTGGCAAACAGCAATCATAGTATGAACACTCCCACAGAGCATTAAAGTGAAACGAGACTCTCGGGCTGTTCTAGAAAGACAGGACAAATAGTGACTTCTAACCAACACAAAACAGACGCTCAAGATGCAGACAATCCTTAAAATACATGAACAGTTGGTCACCCTGGTTCTGTCAACCGCCAATAACAGTAAATGTGTGCTGAAATTAACACAAGGCCAGTGTCGAAACCTAATAATCCTTCCTTTTATAAAACCCTTAAATGTAATGCAAATGATTGAGAATTGAATGAAGTCAACCTGACAATTTGGCCACGCATTTAGACAATATACGTAGAGGATAGTAGACCTTTTATTTTCATTTTGTAAGTTAAGGAAACTTGCATTTTTGGAACACTTTGTTATGCTGAGATATTTCATAGTGGTGCAACTTCTAAATTAGCTTATGTTCTAATTGTTGCAGACAATGTGAAGAATTATGATTGTTTGCTTTCTTTGAATCGTCATGACGTTTCGGCAGCATCCACCCTAATAACCTTTCAGTAAAACAGTTTAACCTGCCCTCCCCGTCTCTGTCCTGTGTTCCTGTAGAACTGATTGCTTTTGGATTACAGGACTCGGTCTGACTCAGATAGAGGCCAAGAGCACCCTCTGCTGATGGAAATGTGCATAACCACAGACCCAAGACTCCTCCATTTTGGGAATAGTTCATGGGTGTGATTTAGCAAGTGATACTGACTAGCAGGCCATTCGGCCCATCGAAACGTAACATCCATGCCCTCCCTAAAGTTTTGTTCTTGCCAAGATGTTATTCTATCTGCACAGTGACCTTTTCAATGATGTACGAGTGTCAGCAAGCTATTCGACTTTGCGATGCATCACTGTGTGTGTGTGTGTGTGGGTGTGTGTCAGGGTGAGTTGTGGGGTGCAAAGGTAGTTATGGCCAGTTGGTGGTGCAGTAACTCCACTGGAAGGGTAATCCAGAGGCCCAGGCTCGAGCTGTGGAGACATAGGTTGAAATCCCACCACGACGAACTGGTGGAATTCATATTTAATTAATAATTGCAGAATTGTAAGCTAGTTTTTGTAACAGTTACCACGACAACCACCATTTTTTAAAAATTAATTCATGGGATGAGGGCGTCACTGGCGAGGCCAGTATTTATTGCCCATCCCTAATTGCCCAGAGGGCAGTTAGCAGCCAACCACATCGCTGTGGGTCTGGAGTCACATGTAGGCCAGACCAGGTAAGGATGGCAGTTTCCTTCCCTAAAGGGCATTAGTGAATCAGATGGATGTTTTCCCAACAGTGGATTCAAGGTCATCATTAGACTCTTAATTTCCAGATTTTTTTAAAAATTGAATTCAAATTCCACCTTCTGTCGTGGCGGGATACGAGCCCAACTCCCCAGAACATTACCCCTGTCTCTGGATTAACAGTCCAGCGATAATACCATTAGGCCATCGCCTGCCTATAGTTTCCGGTCATTCATGTTGTTTTAGGGAGGGAAATCGACTGCCCATACCTGGTCTGGCCTACGTGTGGCTCCAAACTCCAGGCAATGTTATTGTCTCTTAGCTGCCCTCTGGGCAATTAGGGATGGCCAATAAATACTGGCCTCGCCAGTGATGCCAATATCCAATGAAAGAATAAAGGGAAAAAACTTGGAAGCATGCCAGAAAAATGCAGCAGGCCTTGCCTGAGATCCCCAAACCTTTAATAAAAATAAAGTCCTCTTGTTTCAGTGCAGCTCCTGCTCAAGGTAACCTGGCTGCTGCTGTTTTAAATAAAAAACAAATCTGGGGCATTAATAATGATCATATCAATCTGAGCAAGACCAGCAAACGCAGCCTACACCAGGAATCATAGGGAATATAGGAGCTGGAGTAGGCCGTTCAGCCCCTTGAGCCTGTTCCACCGTTCAGTGAGATCATGGCTGATCTCTGGCCTAAATCTGCAGACCTGCCTTTGGGCCGAATCCCTTCATACATTTGCGTGACAAAAATTTTTGTTATCTCGGATTTTAAAATTAACAACTGATCCAGCATCCTACTGTTGTTTGTGGAAGAGAGTTCCCAACATCTGCCACCCTTTGTGTGTGGAAGTGCTTCCTAACATCTCTCCTGAACAGTCTGGCCCCAATTCTCAGACAATGCCCCTAGTTCTAGAATCCCCAATCAGAGGAAATGGTTTACCCGCCCTGTCATTTCCTGTTAATATCTTGAAGACTTTGATCAGATCACCCGTTTAACCCTGTAAATTCTAGAGTATCAAGTCGTGTTCTCCTGTGCTTCTATTGATAAGGGTGCTCTGATGAACCCGGTTTACAGAGATAGGAGATTGAGTGTTGGACATGGCTCAGTGGTTATTGCTCTGAGCCTTTTAAGGTGATGTGAGTGCCATTTGAGAGAGACGCGAGGGTAAAATCCAGGTAGAAGGCTCGGTGTAGTGCCCGAGAGAATCCTGTGCTGACTGTCAATGGAGACCTCTAGGTGAGGCCTCTCCAGTGGCAACCTTCCACAATATTTTCAAAGGTGATCCAGAGGCTGTTATCTCCATTGCCCTGAACAAAATTTGTCTTGCGTCCAACAAAAGGTCATGAGCACGTTGCTGCTTGTGGGAGCTTGCTGTGCACCGGCTAGCTGCTGTTTCCGCTGCGTTTGAGCGGTGACTGCATTTCAAAAGAACGTTAATGGCTGCACCTCACTGAGGCATGCTGCGATTGTTAAAATGGGTTGCTAAAGTTCCACTTTTCCACTTTTTTTTTCTCTCCATTCAGCAACTCTGCAGCATCAGGTTCCAGTCAGTGATTTCTGATCCTGGTTATTCATTCACGTGCCCCCCCCCCCCCC